CAATTATATTACGATTATTCATTTTTTATTTTATGTTATTATTATTACAGAAATATAGAGGGAGTCAATAGAAATGGAATTTAAGCTAAAACTACCATACCAAATTTTATTAAATTTGGTTTAATAGTAGTTGAGATGTTTTAGTTTAAAAGTTACTAAAAATGATTTGTCCCATTTTCATTGGCTTTCCTCGTATATTTTATACGAGATCGATGAATTCCTGTGCAAGAATTTAAATCGAATTCATTTAAGATTGATTTTCATATACAGTCAGATCTCTCTAAATGCATTGCGGCGAGACCATATGCAAAAATTGAGTCAAACGTGTATTTAGAGAGGTACTGCATTTAGGGAGGTAAAAACCTGTGTTATATTAGTTGGGCCCAAGAGAAGACGTGCATTTAGGGAGGCTTTTCATAGAGCGTGCATTTAGAGGGGTCTAACTGTACTTTTCAAAAGATAATGTTTTGTTAATCCAGGTTGACTCTCCAATAAAAATAATGTGATTATTTACTGATATGCGTAATTTAATAACTTTATCAATTATTCTGGGACAAATTAAAATTCCGAAATCTTTTCGGTTTCGCCCTGTAGATCACATAGTTCACATTGCTGTATCTGAAGGTTTGAAGATAGTGATGTAATTTACAAGACGAAACCGAAAAGATTTCGGATAATGAGCAAATTTTAATTTGTCTCAGAATTTATAAGAACAGCTGTAACTCTGAAACACATTTATTATCTCTTTTTTTCTTTTTTTTTTTTTAAGAACCGCCAGATCATATAGTTTATCCGTAAAAGTTTTTTGCAGATTGTTACGCAATCAACCTGCCTAATGTATCTGGTAGAGTTTTTATAATACGACACCGCTCTGTGAATTAGTAAAGCCCGCTATGTAGATCACATGAGGGTGAAATTCACGACGCGGGTTTCACACAGTCCTTTTATAATAATTTATCCAAAGCATGTCTTATCGAAGCGACTAGAACGATCATTTAATCATTGTATTAATTTTGCAAAAGCCGAGTCCGGTAATTAAAAGAATTTTTTCCTTTATTTTTTTTTTATTACCTTCTAATACTTTGTAAAAATAACGTCCAATTATCATATAAACCAATTTTAAGGTATCATCCTATTATTCAATAAAACCTTTTAATTCGAAATCTTGTAAATCGCAACCGCAATCATTTGACATCCGATTGTGCAATTGCGAAGTTGTATATCTTAACCAATGATTCAATATAACGTAGTATATATTTCATAATCCTTTGCTTTCCGTACACAGATTTATCGGGTTTGCGCGATTGCGAATTATCATTGTCACGATAATCATGTGTCCACAAATTTTTTTCTCGTTACCGTACAGCGCAGACGATACATTCCGCAGCTAAAATCCAAGTTAGTACCCGGTATTAAATAAGAGACGTATTTTACATTAGAAAGGATATATGCTACATACTGTAGTTAATACCCGGGTATTTCACTCTGTAAAGTACCCGGTATCTTGTATTCAACTGCGAAAAATTTTTATAGAGGATACTTTGATGTGGGGGGTACTATGGTTATACATGTTGACAAAATTATTTTGGGTTCTAAAACCCGAAATTAAAATTTGAAGACGAAATTGTTTTTGACCCATTTTACTTAAAAGACGATATATTGTTTTTGAATAGACGAAATAATAAGGAACATAAACACATAAATTAGATTTGCTCTTTCATATAAAAATCTTAATTTGCTCTAATGGAGACGAAATAGACTTTTTTCAAAAACCAATTTCGGTGGCATCTATAACTATGGTCCGCGCTATACGGTAATACGTATTCAACACTGGTATATACATATGTAAGTTAAAATACGTGTCAGTTATATTTCAATTAGTAATGTACTGGACAAGTGGCATAACGAGTGTATTAGAGGTTCGATCGCTAGACTATTAGTGATCCGAATCGGCAAAATTTTTCTAATCGATCAGTTGGACCCAGTGTCTGAAATTGGGTTGCGGAGCTTGCAGACCGCAAATGATTTATAAGTTTCCGCAACTAAAATCTGAAATGTATATGCTGGTTCCGCAAATAAATTTTGTGAATTTGCATATAGATATGTTCGAATTCGCAACTAAATCCATATAATCCGCAATTAAAAAATTGAATTTCAGACACTGGTTGGGATTAGTTGTCACATGTGTTAATTAAATTAATTTTATTGGCTAATCACATTTTTATTTATATCGGTTTGTGAAAAAGAAATCACTCGATTCTTAGATGATTCCTGATTTCCTAAAATTACTCAGATATGAAAATTTCACACCCAGATATCGGAGTAGTTTTTTTTGATGATTCACAATTTCACAAAATCATGCAAACCGCAATAATTGTTTTCTAAATTTAATTAGCAGTTGTTAGCGTTATTAACGTTTTTAAGACCGTGAATGAGGACGCAATAAGAATTTCTACCACTACAAGAGAACAATACATGCGTAATTGTATACAAAGTGTAAGAGATAGTTGTCATCCAAACTTTAGAATTGGGACTTTAGGCATTAACTAAATTTGTATTTTCGTAGCATATCAACATGCAATTTCTTATGTTGTGGCTGACAATCACGCCATAGCGGTGATCTTCTCTACGTAATGTGTTTAATATGTTCGGATAGACTGCCCCCTGAAGAATCAGATTCTATTGTATGTAATTAGTTCTAGAACATATTAATTTTATCCCTTTTCTTTTTAAGAGTTGTCAGGTCCATAAAAAAATGTTTGATGACCAAAGCACATCCTATCGAAGCGACTAGAACGAATAACTTTGCACGTATTTACAGTAATCAATTTTTACGGGGGCCGAGTCCGATAAGGTTAATCAATTTACTGGTTTTCCCTTTCCGTAATTCAATTTCATGCTAACGCTAATGCTAACTATTTTGGTTTAGACTGGGAGATCTCCAGAAATGGTTATTCATGATCCATGAAGAATAGATAGGGGTGGTAATCCTAATGTGGACCGAACAGGAAACATCACGAATATGCCTACGTACTGTACCTATAGGCGCGCATGCCTTAAGACTGCACTATATGACTTAACTTTTGATATCAAACATCACAAAGGTTATATCAATAAAAATTTAATTGCAATATAATGACATAGTGTTTACAATATTTAGAAAATGGTTGATATCAAAGCGAAAGTAATTTCTATAATATCTAATTACTGTACGTATGTACGTACGTATATGGATAAACATTGAGTTGATTATAGGAGCGTGTAATGTGTGACGGATTTTTCATCTAGAATCATCTAGCAGCGATTAATGTCAAGTAGCGATGTATTTACATCATTAACTATTAAATGAAGGATAAGTTATGTATAACATATCTCTGTTAGTGTTACGAGCTAAACTATTTTTTAAAATCCAAAGTTGAGTTCATTTAACATA